TTCTACTTTTAGCGCTTTTCCCGCTTTAAGTATTATGCTGCATTATGACAGCGTCAGTTGTTGTTTCTGCCTATAGTTTCCAATTGCATAAAGTGTGATTGCACCAATTTATCAAAATTTATTTTATAAAAATTAATCATTCATTCCGTAATAAGCTGAAATCTGAGACCGCTAAAATTTCATAATTACTGGTTGGAAAACATATATGTGTGGAACGTGTGTTTCGATCGGTCACCAAACATGGCCTGCGTGGCCTAAAATTTGATTTACACATTAAATAGTGCAAATGGTGAGGCCAACGTTCTGCTCTTTTCCATGAATTTGCACCAACTTAGTATCTAAGGGTTTTATGGCAATGTATACATTTCCATTGCATCATGACGAATACAGGGGCAGTTTTGGGGACTGCATTGGCCTGTGTTACAATTATAACTTGTTATATTTGATCTTGATTTTTCAACGGGTTTTTTCTCTCTTTTTCCCCCTCATCTGTAGTATGATTTTTTATTTTGTATTTAACCTCAAAACTATAATACAGTGTACTTTTTTCTGTAGCGATTTTCGTTTGCTTTTGCTTGCTGAGTGACAAAAGCAAAGTCGATGCGATAAGAAAAGGAATGGCACATAGAATATTGTATCAAAATGAAAGATATCATGAACCCCACTCACCAAAATTGGAGGTGGAATCAAATACTAGGTGTTTTTCCAACATTTTGTAATTCCGTTTTTGCTGGCAAAAAGTAACCGACCTACCTTGGGAACGACAGCGCAGATGTGCTTTTAGTCTAAACGCGTCATCATCGCGCCATGACCGTATTCAGTGTAACCAGGGTAGAATCATCAGTTTTGTAACATGTCCTTGGTGGAGCGGTATATATGTGTATCATCTTTGCAATGTATGTTAATGGTAGGAAAGTGTGCAAGAAAATCAATAAAACCCTGTTATGCAGACAGAAAAATATCAACCCTCGGGATAACTCTTACCCTCGGATTGAGATTTCTCTGTGTGCATTACACAACGATGATACGTACTATACCTCTGATCAACATGTGGCGCCTGTAACTCTATTTAGTGCAACGTTCTAGCTGTGACAACTTAAAAAGAATAACGCATTCCTAACGACGTTCCTATGCCTGCAACTTATAATAATATAAAAGGAAAAACAATATTTCTCCGGTATAAACCTCCACGCCTCGGGCGTTAAAAATGCTTACTATCGCCTCAATTAGCATGTTGTAAACACCATGACGTTACTTGGAGCCGGCAATACTAGTTCAGACTGATAAAACACGGTTACATTTTTTATACTTACACCAGTATACCATTTGGTGAGCATCTGAAACGAAAACTTTTTTCTGGACGCCATATTGAAACAAACTGGGTACCCTCAAATGAATGAGATATTCCCGTGTGAGGAAGGCTTTGGATTCTGTCCCCTGGGCGAGACATACCTGAGTCTGTAACAAAGGTAGTTTCTGCTCCTGCTTAACGCTCAGCAATTTAGGATTGGGACGACTGGTTCGCCCGTTGTCAGTATAACGTAACCGGGTGGAGTGTCCTGTTGGGTGTCTTCGGCAGTATGCTTCAGTGAGGTAGCACTATAAAGTCGGCACCAGTTCCGCGCTATCACAAGGAGAAAAACACGAACATATCGCAGCCTCCCAAAACACACACACATACACTACACGCGTTCATCTCGCACACAGGGGAGGCCGTCCTTAAATGACCATGGCTGTTGATATGACGTTAAACAATAAACACTTAATCAAACCAAACCAAACCATCCCGTCGAACCAGTTCATTCCAGCGGTACTTTACATTCCATTTAGTTGGTTCGTATCGGCAAAACTGTAACGTTCCGCTATAAAACATAATGCTGCTTGTTTTCTGTCAAGTTTATACTATAAATTATGTAAATCGAATAGTGCTTCTCATTTGACGACCCCAAGTACCGACAGAGGAGAGAACAGAATAATCACAACAGTTTTTTCTTGGAGGGCCAGAAAGCAAAATCAAACTAACCAGTCACTTATTCCTTCCTTTCGCATAACCTACTGTATATAGAACCAACTAAGATACATGTACTAGCGAGGTTATATATTTAGATATTTATCCATAGCATAAAAAGCATTTCTGTCGATTCCATTTCAGTTTTATACCGGCTATCCGGAAAAATACATGCACCATACTAACTGCTAGGACATTTTGTTCTCCTTTGAATATTTCCCACCTGCAATTAGGATTCCGTAACGTAATCCTTGGCTATCTTCTAACCATTTGAAAACTTTTCGCTTCGTTGCTGACGCGGTTACGGTTTTCACTCGCTAACACTTCCCACGGCTAGTCATTTTGTTTACAATGAAATGACGTGCTACGCGCAGGCGTTATAGCTGGAAAATCCTTGACTCAAACGTTGGTCAGACAGCTAGAAATCCCGATAATTATCTGAAAATTATTGATTTTTATTTATATATATATCGGCAAAATCCGATCGTTAGTTTCCAAAAGGAGACTTACTTGATATGTTTATGTAGTATTTGAAAAAAAAGACATGTTACTTCACCGTGATGTCCGTACATTCAAAGTTCGAAGAACTACTGAAACTCTATAAAATGCATGGCAACACGTGATTTATATTGAATACCCCTATTCACAAAATTTACAATGGTAATACTTCAGTTTAACTTGTTTGTATACATTTTACCGTTACTATAGTTACAGTCAGGTGATCAAGTATCCATACACAGCTCTGTAAAGTAGTTTATATATCAAGCCATCACTAATCAGTTGTATTTGTTTTAAGGAACAGATGACATATTTAAATGCAAAATAATCTCAGTTACCAAACGAAATGTTACAAAGATGACAGAAGGATCGGGCCTCTATCATTGCAATTCATTGTAACCCTCACGAGTTAACGTTTCATCGTAAGCGGGGAAGTAATTCGTAATAGATTCCAAATAGCCGAGACTAAACTGGACGGAAAATCCACGGAAGTCGTAAGGATACCAATTCAATTGTTGATTTTAATGCAATTATAAATCATTCATAATTGCCACATCCTTTAATGTAAATAGAAAAAACAAAATAAAAACAAACAAAGTGTTTAAAAATTCGGACAAAAAATCGATGAAACAAATGACAAAATTGTGAACACGACAAAACACATGGATAATAACAACATATTATCCTAGCGGCCTTGTTTGTGTACAACAATTATTAAGAATATTTATCCTAAGTAGTAATGTACAGCATTTCATTAAGGTAAAGGACATCACTGTATCCTTTATCCTTTACTTTGTGTGGCCTGTATCTTTTGGGGAGATAAAGCCAAATCTACCAAAAATATATGTTTTGAAAATTTCCATGATATTTATGTTTTTTGCAAAAATTGTTTATTACTAGTCCCTAATTATAAGGGTAACTATCTTTACACATCGCTATTATATAATCTTCTTTGGTGGAGTTACTTCCCCTTTATGTATCTATTATGTAAATGTCTTTAATATATGTAAACAATGTGTTCACCACCGGATGTAACTGTAAGGAGAGGACTTATATAGACAATGTATGATGTCCAATCCTGTTGCCTTCATTTGTCAATAAAATATGTTGAAATTGAAATTGAAATCACTGTATCAGTTATAATCGCAAAGAAACAACCAATTTTTTTTCTAGCATAGAGTAACTTTGCCTGTCATGTTTTTGATATGATTTGCTAACAATAAATTGGACACCCATTTTGATACTGTGCTTTTTCTTGATTTCCTTCTGTTTCTTTTTTCGAACGGTCAAATTTCAAACAATTACAATTTGGCCCACGCAGCGATTTTTTTTCTTATCTTACCACAACGCTGCCAAGCTGGAGACAGTATTGAAAATGATGGTCTCAGCTCCCTGTAGGGTCTGATTTGGCCAAATGGAAGCTTCTTAAAGTACTCCTGGTCAGGACATGAAGTTGTACTTACTCTTAAGAGCTTGAAACATCACTATTTTAACTATGCTGCTCCTAAGGTGTAGTTGATCATTTTTATACCAAATATGTAATTATTTACTAGAATATGTAATTCCAGTACTGGGTTCTTTGTAAAAAAGGGAGTCCAAAATGAGCTAAAAAGGTCATTCCTCATGTTATGCTTTATAGTGTCAGTCCACCAAATGTTGTTTCTTATGAATTATGCTACATATGTATTCTTTGTTAAATATCACATTGCACCAGGACAGGTATCCTCAATAGACACGTTGTCTGTAAAAATATTGAAGTGTTATGATAATATTTTTTGGTTTGTTATAATTCAGTTTTAGAAATTACATGTTTACCTTCATATTCGTGATCCGTCTGGTTGTTGGCTTGTGGCAAATTCTTCAAGAATGACTCAACAAAGAAATCAAGTTAAAGTGGAAATTTATTTGTAGACATTTAAGTGACAAGTAAACAATATAAAAGTACACTCCACAGCAGCCTGAGAGGTTACCTGTACAATGTTGAGATGAATTGTCTCCCTTTGACCAATTGACATTGTGATTATAAATAAATGAGCAGGTTGTTGAATATGAACAAAAATAGTTGTAACTCTTTAATGCATGCTTCAGACAGAAGCTACCTCGTATCTGTTGTTAAAGATGCTCTTACTAAACTTATAAGCTGCACATTGTATTTTTGTTCCTAATACATTTCTCCTAAATTGCACCTAGTACATTTCTCCTAAATTGCACCTAGTATATTTCTCCTAAATTGCACCTAGTACATTTCTCCTAAATTGCACCTAGTATATTTCTCCTAAATTGCACCGAGTACATTTCTCCTAAATTGCACCTAATATCTTTCTCCTAAATTGCACCTAGTACATTTCTCCTAAATTGCACCTAGTATATTTCTCCTAAATTGCACCGAGTACATTTCTCCTAAATTGCACCTAGTATATTTCTCCTAAATTGCACCTAGTACATTTCTCCTAAATTGCACCTAGTATATTTCTCCTAAATTGCACCGAGTACATTTCTCCTAAATTGCACCTAGTATATTTCTCCTAAATTGCACCGAGTATATTTCTCCTAAATTGCACCTAGTACAATTTCTCCTAAATTGCTCCTAGCATATTTCTCCTAGTACATGTCTCCCTTACTCCTACTAATCTCATAATGACCTCCTATTACTTTTCTTTTTATAGAAAGTGCTGGCCAATCATATTGCTTGAAATTACTTATACGAGATATCTCCCACGTTAAATTTACTTAGTGAATAAAATCCGAGAGATCCGAATAAAAACTATGAAGATGACTCCCGAGTGTTACCGAAAAGATAAACTAATATGGCTGCCGTAGAAGATGAACGCTATGTCTGAGACAAACTTTCGGCTCTAATGGACTATAAAAGTTCCGACAGTATGATTAAATGGAATACACATGACAGGTATGATGTTATCTCACCACGCTGAACAATCGTTTTGAGTATGAACGTGTGTTTCCCGTAAAAATACAGATTACACCTGGTGGTGGACTTGTCGTCTGCTCATACCATGATACAGTTGGGAGCAACAACACTTATATCCTTGATTTACAGACTTACAACATAATACTACGATCTTTTTTGGATGGAATACTTGTATCATGAGACGAATTGATGAAATATAACAATATGAGATAATTTACAGACGAAATACCCGTAACAATAAGAGTACAGATTTCGGTGTTCATATCGGACTATGTAAGCTTTCAGCATACAAATCTTGGTAATACACACTTCACCAACATCTCACATTATGATTTAAAATAGCATACGTATAGGATGACACAACCTCATAAAATATAACAATATCAAATTATTCAATAATGGAACAATAATACTGTCACTTTCTAACTACACGTACAAGACATGATCATACAAATTTCTTGGATAATAGGCCAACCGGCATAACAGTACTTGCACTTAAATCATTCGTTTGCTTGTTCTCCTTTCCGCTGATCTACAAAATCAAGTGACATATATACATGTGCCGGTACTGTTCAACAGGTCAGCATTCTTTATCATATGATAGCAGAAGTAACCGTCATTCCTACCTTATCACAATTAACATTCTAATGGTTGTAACTTACATTGTACATTAGAGAAAAAAACCAACCTCTATCACGAAAGTATTGTCATACTATTCTTTAACGAAACCAAAAATGACATAACCTGTGTACTCATATACATGATACTTGTAAGCGAAATGTTAACAAGAGACCCAATGGGCCTGAATCGCTCACCTAAAAGTCAGTCAAATGTAAAAGATTTAAACACATTTGACCCCTGTGACCTTGAAAGTGAAATAAGGACATTAAGTTGAACAAACTGTAAACACTATTATCCCAGAATGCAACTTAAAAAATATCACCACTCTAGACATTTTGCTTATATATATATGACTTTTAAAGATTAATACACATTTGACTACTCGTGAACTTGAAAGAGTGTCAACGTCATTTACATACACAAACTTGATAGCCCTTCATGTGAGCATGCTACTGGTCACATATCATCACCCTTTGCATTTTGGTTATTTAGAAGAGGTGGTTTAAAGGTTTGTTTTAAGACGTTTGACCCTGTGATCTTGATTATTGGCGAAGGTCATTCACTTGAACAGACTTGGTAGGACTTCATCCCAGCATGGTATTGGCTAAATGTTATCACAGGAGGCCATTGGTTATTCAGAAGAGATTGTTTAAAGTAAAACATTGACGGCGGTCGGACGTCTAACCACGGCATAAGCTCACTTGGCCCTTCAGGCTTCGGGCTAGGCGAACTAAAAACATATCAATCATCATATTGTTTTTGAATATTTACAGGATACGTAGGTGTACGAAGGTGTAAGTGATAAAAAAATGAGAAAAACAAATAAAATTGTACTTTATCATTTACGGATTGGCAGCTGCCAACCTGGAGAGGAACCTACCGAGGTCAATCAAATCAGGTACAACGATGAATCCTAGGACCAGAACGAGTAAGAAACACCCGAGACTTCCAATAGCGACACTGCTGGGCCGTGAGTCATTCACACTGATGAGTTTACGGCGACTGGCAGATGTATTTGCTTTAACAACAAATAGTTCTTTTTTCAACTCAGAGATAATTTGTTGTTTCTTTTCGCCCGTGAGTTGTGTAACGTTGTTCCTACTACAACAAAAACAACGGAGGGTTGGTGACTCAGTTGAGCTAGTAGTTTGTTCCGCATCACCTGACCTAGTTGTTTGTTCCGCGTCATCTGGGCTAGTAGTTTGTTCCGAGTCACCTGACCTAGCTGTTTGCTCCGCATCATCTGAAGTGGTAGTCTGCTGGACGCCAGACGCTGGAATGTAATGAGATGAAAATGAATCAATCAATTTCAATACAGGCATTATATTTATAGACTACGGAATATTTCCGTAAAGCACGCATGATATCATTTTAGTGGTGGTCACTCCGAAATAATTAGCACTTTCACTATATTACCCTACCATATTTAGACGGCATTCAAAAAGGCTAGCCGATTGTCGTGACCTTATTATTATGACGTCATAATTGTTACGTTAGATACCATTGACCCTCCCTTGACAGATGGCTATTTTATTAATTAAACAAGCACATAGGATAAATACATTATTTGAACTAAATGCGAAATATAAATAAGTGGAATAGAAGTTTATATTAGATAAACAGATTCCAAAAATGGTAAATATAAGTTTTGACCTGCTTTATGTCGGCTTTCATAATAAGAATGCCGACCAAAAACAGTTCAATGCTTTATTGCACAAGCATTCTCTCGTTATCCTACACTATACTTCTATAAATCATGTATATAGGCTTTATTTTAGCTGACAGCAATGCATTTCACCATTACACACGCAATTTGTCAGCAGACTGTGTTGCAGACTAGTAAATGCAAAAACAGTTCTTTTTTTGTGTTTAACAATTTGTCAGCTAGAATTATTTTACTTCTAATCTCAACAGTGATTTTTACATTCATATTTATGTGCACCATATATATCGGTACCATCTATCAGATATGGCGGAAAAAAATATGGAACATGTAATCAAACATTTTCCTTGTTATAAGTCAAAGACTGTTTGTGGTCGATTTATTTTTATTGTAATCTCATTAAAATGGCGATAGTTGGCTTCCTATTGTAAACATCATGTCTTGATTTTAAACATTGACTGTCAATCACAATGTAATCGCTCTAACCAAGTGATCAGCAGCATAGTTTCCTTGCCAAATCCTACAGCAGTTATATTGAATGCAAATTTACAGTTAAGAGCAGAAACGGATTATAGGGGAGGTTGATATTATGTATGTTAAAACCTGAGTGGAATGCTCTAGTGTTTTAAACATGAATATACAGGGAACTAGTTTATTAGTTTTTTTTATGTTCCCACATAGCGTTGATTACATTGATCAAATTCATTTTGGAAAGAGACTGCCAAATATTAACCGTTGCCATCAAATGGTGGTACCTGTAGAGGTCCAAATAATTTAGACATTCTCGGTTTCCCGCTTTAATAAAAGTTTGAAAGGTTCCTTTATCTTTATTTCCGACCATCTTGTAGAAGAAATAATATTAGGTTTATAATAGGTTGTACTTACCTGTTACAGAAACCTGGTCGTCAGCGTTACGGTCATCAATCGTCTGGTTGGTTTTCTGATAATTTTTTTTTTTATAAAAAGTCACATTAATAACAGTTTAGTTTATTAATGATATAATAAGATATCTACACAGTAAAACAACAGATGTAATCGTCGATAATAAATCAAGGATTATGTAGGTTTCAAAGTTTAGAAGAAATGTACTATGTATTTCGGCATGAAATATTGAGGGAAAATCCTGATAAAAATGAAAGATGCATTATAGTTATGAAAGTGATATTTGATAGTCAAATGGCATTCAATAAGGCTAGCCGATTGTTGAACTCATCATTATTATGACGTCATAATTGTTACGTTGGATATCGTATACCCTCCTTTGACAGATGGCCATTCTGTTAAACTAGCACATACATAGCATTTATGTCCTTTTATTGCAGGGAAATACATGAAACAGCCGGGAAATTCATTTTAGTTTGGACTATTTTCTAAAGTATGTGTCGCGCAGAGGTATTGTTCTAAGTTTCCAAGAAAATGAGTTCTTTCTTTTGATGACGTCATAATTAGCAAGCAACTGACGGTAACACGTGATCGAGACACAGCATTGAATTGAATATCGCAGCTTTGCATTCGTCAGCTACATTTAAGGTCAAATATTCTTTTCCAAAACAGGAGCATGGCATATCTTACAATCATGTCAGCATAATACACACATGCATCAGATGCAAACAAAGATGATTTCTTCTAATGGTACATTAGAACCAAAACAAAATAGGTTTAAAATATATAAATACGTATTAAAATATAAAATAGATATATTAAAAATATATAAATATTGTATTTTTTTCTGCTGATAGTTTGAAATTGATTACAGAAAATAGAAGATCAACGATGTAAAAGGAATTTTGATACATATGAAATCATTTTTTAAAGGTCAAAATACCAAACTTATTACTTTTCGTTGTTTTCATATCACTAGAAATCAAACGTACTACGCCCATCGTTAATGTTAAAATATGTTTCGCATAGCACAGTTTAAGTACGGATTTCGGTGACGCGTAGCAATGTGACGTCGCAAAATGAAATTATTACACATAAAGCTTATTTCCAGACAAAAACATTCTCTTACCCGATTTTAATGAATAACCTTTTTAAACTGTGAAATATTTACTTTATATGCATACATACTTATATACATTATGATTTAAGCGAGCTGATTGACCATATCAACATCAAAACCTCTTTCTTTGAGAATGCCACAAGAGGAAAATGGCCAGACTTGCGGATATTTCTCGGTTTGTCGATTAAGTGCAGGAGAAAGTATAGTTGGGGTCAAGACAGAACACCGATACTGATGAAACGTATATCCAGTATATATCTTTATATCATATCCAGTGTATAACTGTATAGTTTATCCAGTATATATATTTCTATATAGTATATCAAGTGCATATCTATAAAGTATATCCAATATATACCTATATAGTATATCCAGTGTGTAACTATATAGTTTATCCAGTATATATTATATATACACTGGATCTATTATCCATTATAGTATATCAAGTGTATATCTTCATAATTTATCCAGTATATATCTATAAAGAATATCCAGTATATATCTATAAGGTTTATCCAGTGTATATATATATAGTATATATCTATATAGTATATCCAGTGTATAACTGTATAGTTTATCCAGTATATATATTTCTATATAGTATATCAAGTGCATATCTATAAAGTATATCCAGTATATACCTATATAGTATATCCAGTGTGTAACTATATAGTTTATCCAGTATATATTATATATACACTGGATCTATTATCCATTATAGTATATCAAGTGTATATCTTCATAATTTATCCAGTATATATCTATAAAGAATATCCAGTATATATCTATAAGGTTTATCCAGTATATATATATATATAGTATATTCAGTATATATCTATATAGTATATCCAGTGTATAACTGTATAGTTTATCCAGTATATATATTTCTATATAGTATATCAAGTGCATATCTATAAAGTATATCCAGTATATACCTATATAGTATATCCAGTGTGTAACTATATAGTTTATCCAGTATATATATTTCTATATAGTATATCAAGTGTATATCTTCATAATTTATCCAGTATATATCTATAAAGAATATCCAGTATATATCTATAAGGTTTATCCAGTATATATATATATAGTATATCCAGTATATATCTATATAGTATATCCAGTGTGCAAATATATAGTTTAGCCAGTATATATATTTCTATATAGCATATCAAGTGTATAACTGTATAGTTTCTACAGTATATACCTATATAGTATATCCAGTGTGTAACTATATAGTTTATCCAGTATATATATTTCTATATAGTATATCAAGTGTATATCTTTATAATTTATCCAGTATATATCTGTAAAGAATATCCAGTATATATCTATAAGGTTTATCCAGTATATATATATATAGTATATCCAGTATATATCTATATAGTATATCCAGTGTGCAAATATATAGTTTAGCCAGTATATATATTTCTATATAGCATATCAAGTGTATAACTGTATAGTTTCTACAGTATATACCTATATAGTATATCCAGTGTGTAACTATATAGTTTATCCAGTATATATATTTCTATATAGTATATCAAGTGTATATCTTTATAATTTATCCAGTATATATCTGTAAAGAATATCCAGTATATATCTATAAGGTTTATCCAGTATATATATATATAGTATATCCAGTATATATCTATATAGTATATCCAGTGTGCAAATATATAGTTTAGCCAGTATATATATTTCTATATAGCATATCAAGTGTATAACTGTATAGTTTCTACAGTATATACCTATATAGTATATCCAGTGTGTAACTATATAGTTTATCCAGTATATATATTTCTATATAGTATATCAAGTGTATATCTTTATAATTTATCCAGTATATATCTGTAAAGAATATCCAGTATATATCTATAAGGTTTATCCAGTATATATATATATATATAATATATCCATTATATATATATATAGTATATCCAGTATATATATTTCTATATAGCATATCAAGGGTATATCTGTATAGTTTCTCCAGTATATATCTATATAGTTTAGCCAGTATATAACTATTTACTATTGAACAATGTATTCATTTGAGCATTTGTAATATTATCTGTTTCTTTTTCCATATATGTTATAGACGCATTTAATGCAAGTGCATTCATGTTATCTTTTTAAGACGTCGCAATTTCTAGACGTCCGCATTATGTGTACTTTGTTTATCACGTCATAATTTTTGACGACTTCAGTATGTGTACTCCATTTATGACGTCACATATAGGTTCAAATCGCCTGAAGAGCTTCAAGCTGGGCGAAAGCGTTAGCCGATTATAGATAGTGTTTTGTTTTATTTATATTAGTTTATCAAGTATATATCTATAAAGTATATCCAGTATATATATCTACATAGTATAACCAGTATATTTCTTTATAGAATATCCAGTATATATCTATAAAGCATATCCAGTTGGATATATATATAGTATAATCAGTATGTTTCTTTATAGAATATCCGGTATATATCTATAAAGCATATCCAGTTGGATATATATGGTATAATCAGTATGTTTCTTTATAGAATATCCGGTATATATCTATAAAGCATATCCAGTTGGATATATATGGTATAATCAGTATGTTTCTTTATAGAATATCCGGTATATATCTATAAAGCATATCCAGTTGGATATATATGGTATAATCAGTATGTTTCTTTATAGAATATCCGGTATATATCTATAAAGCATATCCAGTTGGATATATATAGAATAATCAGTATGTTTCTTTATAGAATATCCAGTATATATCTATTAAGCATATCCAGTTGGATATATATAGAATAATCAGTATGTTTCTTTATAGAATATCCAGTATATATCTATTAAGCATATCAAGTTGGATATATATAGTATAATCAGTATGTTTCTATATAGAATATCCAGTATATATCTATAACGCATATCCTGTTGGATATATATAGTATAATCAGTATGTTTCTTTAAAGAATATCCAGTATATATCTATAAAGCATATCCAGTTGGATATATATATAGTTTAATCAGTATGTTTCTTTAAAGAATATCCAGTATATATCTATAAAGCATATCCAGTTGTATATATATATAGTATAATCAGTATGTTTCTTTAAAGAATATCCAGTATATATCTATAAAGCATATCCAGTTGTATATATATATAGTATAATCAGTATGTTTCTTTATAGAATATTCAGTATATATCTATAAAGCATATCCAGTTGGATATATATAGAATAATCAGTATGTTTCTTTATAGAATATCCAGTATAAATCTATAAAGCATATCCAGTTGGATATATATAGTATAATCAGTATGTTTCTATATAGTATATCAAGTGTATATTATATGGTTCCACGTTTTTGATATCTCGTCCCTTCTTTCTGGTGCTTATCTCTCGTTGACTCACTTTATGTGATAGTGCATCTTACGCAAGTATAGGTCCTCTACATCAGCGTTCCTTGTCGGCGATGCTTTCAGCTTAATTGCTGCCCTCGGCTGTCTTTATCCGAGGGGACTATTGGTTTTATATAATAGCTATATTTTCAATTAAAGTATATCAGTTATATCTTCTTGTAATATGATGTATATGTACATGTAACTGTTCTGTTTCACTGTGTCTTGATAAAGTAGCGGATCGCTCCGAAAATTTGACAACCTAAACTTGTCCACACTGTTGGAATTACTTCTTTGCCCCATATATATTATATCCAGTATATTTCTATATAGTATATCAAGTATATATCTTTATAGTTTATCCAGTATATATCTATATAGCATATCAATAGGATTCATATTAAAGGTAGAACTAATATGATTTTCTGACAGTGTCAATCACAACAGTAAAATACAATGCGGAAATTCGATGAAGTTTAAAATTTAAATAAGTTATCTTTTTCCCATATAGACATTCACCTCTATTTAGATTGTGCAACTATACAATAAAGTAAATCAAGTGATAGAGAATTGTATCATTTTCATAATAATTATGTACACAATATCAGCAATACATTGATTAAAAAAATCAAGGGAAATCGTACTGTTCAGCTTTTAAACATTTTAATATCCTTCCTGGAAACATTGCTGAATGCCTTAAAGAATATCTGCGATGTCACACACGTAAAATTTAATCTACAATTTAAGTTTATCTATGAAACATACCTGACAGGCATACTTATAGTACTTAGTACATTTCTTGTCCATCCAAGCCCTTCGAACTGCAAAGATCACGCAATCCTGATCAGCAGTGCGATTGGTGGGGCTATTTTCTCCCCAATCACTGTAGTTCACACGAGCGCCATTGTCCTCCCACACATAGACGCCTTCCGTATCAATGTCATTGGCACCAGTCCATATCAAATACATACCTTTTAACATAAAATTGCATTAGTTACCACACAGAAGAGTATATATGGTAATGAACCTTCCTAGAAAGTTTGAAGTTAATCCGTAGAAAACTACACGAGATACCGAGCGGACACTGTTTCAGCAATTGAATAAAGGGCCATAACTCCGTCAATTACAGTTTACCACAATAGTCCGAGCTATCATAATAATGAACTTTCCTATTAAGTTTGAAGTTAATTCGTAGAAAACTACTTGAGATTTCGCTCCCATACGGTTTTTGGAATATGTAATAAAGAAATCGTAGGCTAACCTTGTGGATGATACCAGTAGATTAGTTTAATCCTTCGATGTATATAGATGAATAGCACGGAAGCGTAACGGTAAATTTCCCAGCTTTAAAGTCGGGAATCGTTTCTTTGTAGTGTTTAAAAGACAGGTATCATCCTAGCACATTGGTAAGCATTTTGTAACATGAAACCAATCAAATTGTCACTGGCATGGCATGCTATATCCCAGGGGTGGCTCAAACATTAGTGAGCGTAACCCGTATAATTTCGAGGATTAAATTAATTATGTATTAGAAATGTCATTGTAAAAAGGTTATAAATACATGCATAAGTGCCATTATCCTATAGAACAAGTCGCTTTGCATCTTATTTATCTATCTAATAGAAATAACTCTACTACGGTTGCAACTTAACGATGCTTCAAAAATTTGAATAAAAGCCATAAATTAATCAAAACTACACACATTGTACCTTACAACACGGTTATAACGAATCCCAAGCGACATCTTTAAGCAGTTCGTTATAAAGGTAGTTCGTATTACGCGTATAGCGAATGTTTTATATTATTAAAATATCGTTATAGAAATGTATAAAACAACGTTAACACAAATCATCGGGAATATTTTGATTTATCTCAACATATCTTATTTGCAAACAATGCTCACAGTATGGTGCTCGGAAATTGGGTTCGTATTACAGTGTTAAAATATCACTGAATTTTACCCGAGTGGACCTCTGATCCGCTTCATAATAGACAATAATTCGCTGTTAGATTCGCTATATGATCATATAATTACATTGAAGTAAGAGGGAGATAAGCTAGGGAATCAGAATCAGTTTGTTATACACAGAAATTCGCAATAAGTGTGTTCGTACTAAACGTGTTTTAATGTAGTACAAATACACTTTTAGCCAAACGCCTGATTATGGCCGGTAGAAATCTCATGAAAAACTATTTGTAATGCAAATACATGTGGCAATGTAAGTAGTTGTGATGGTGTACATAGATGTCGTAATATATATAATATAAACTGTATTTATTTTACAACAATTATGAAACAAGTTATTTTAACTTATATTAATCACTCTTGTTGGCCCGGATGTTAGCGCGCGGGGGGTCTTGTTGTGGGAGGAAACCGGAGTACCCGGAGAAAACTCACGTGGTCGGGCAGGTGACCCCATACCTTTTCACGTCCGATCGGGGAAACGAACCCCGGCCGCCTTGGTGAAAGGCAAGTGCGCTATCCACTGCACCACCCGACCACCCGTCGTAATATGTACATATGTCTTCAATGAAAACAAGCAAATTTCTTTGAATTTATATCCCCCACTTGCAGGACATATTGTAGGTACACATTATTGAGGTTAGGCTTAAACATGTGAGTATCGTTCTGTTGAGACATAATGTATAGCTTGAAACGTGAAAAAAAGCCCTATACCTCATTGATTAATCCGTAAATATGCACAAATCACATCGGTTGGCAAACTTAGCATGAGTCGGATGTGCATACGGAACTTGGTTGAAACATCTGAACAATATCGACAGCAATTATCACACGAAAACACAAATTAATATCCCCCGTTTCGGTGAAAGTGGGGGATAATAAAACAACTTATACATGTAGCTATTCATAAAAAATCAACAAACAATTAAAATGAATTACATTAAGCGAACCATGCAAACATGACTACATATCAAACCCAGTAAACCTCCATAAGACACTTTATTTTCTTCTAATGCTATGAGTTATCTTGCATTCTCAACAGTTTCTTTACGTACAGTAAAACCTCGATATAATGCCCTTCGTTTTAGTATAATTTTCCAACTCCTTTAACGCCATCTTGATTTATTGTCCCGGTGTATTCTAGTGTTTTAAGGAATTCTTTTATGAAATTCTCTCAATTTATCGCCAAAACCCGTTGTTACGCCAATTTTTTTTCTGGGAAAATGACGACAGTTTTTATTGTACATTACATGTAATAACAACAACGCTTGTTAAGGGCAATGAATGAGAAGTAAGTACGTTTCACAATCATCTCAATCAAATGTCTGTACAATTGTACATGTTTAATTGACCTGAATAAAATAAAGAATTCCGCCCGGTCACATTATACTGACAACGGGTGAACCAGTTGTTGCCATTCCCCTAAATCCTGAACTTTAAGCAGAGAATAACAACTACATTTTTAAGGACTTTGGTATGTCCCAGCCTGGGGACAGAACCCATTGCCTTCCTCACCTGGGCGAACGGTCACCTTAAAAAAAGAGTTTTTTCGACATATGTAGATACATAAAAATGAACAATAATTGCATATATGATTATTCATTATTACTACTGATAACCGTAATGGGCCTCCTTGCATTGGGGATATTCTAACAAAATGACAGATAAATGTCACAAGCGAATGTAATTTTGAAAATAAATCATGATGTTGTATAGTGTGTAAAATGACTGTTATTTATAATTTAAAAAATAAGAAAAACATGCAAAATGTTCACAAAGATTGAAATATACCCAACATCGTCAACTTGCCTATGTATAGTTACAATGGTAGTCTTTATTTCATCCTTCTTTAAAACCTTTTCATATATATATTCTGTCTACAATATCATTATTATGTAACATCAAAACCGGTTAAATTACTTTTTAGCATGCCAAACATGGCCAATGCACAATTTCACATAATCATGCAGATTTTATCATCTTTGTTTATGATGGTAAAATACCGATACATCTTCTGTTTTGTTTTCATACCAAAACACTTCATTATATTATGCATGTTTTTAAAGTTATGTGCATCAGCGATAACTAATAAACATGTATTCTGCAAAAGTTATCTTTTCTCTGGGGAACTACTTAAGGTTGAGATTGTGTTATAGACAAAGATATGTAAATATATATAAAAAAGTAAAATACTCTTAATAATAAAACGATTATACACTTAATTATTATTTTATTTTGTCTGTTGCCCTTTCATTAAACAAAATATGAAGGAATATTACATTACTTTATGTGTTTAACTCTAAACAAGTAAAGCAAAGGAAAGATATCCTTCTCAGACTCCCCTTACAAAAATTATATTTCAACACATTTGATTCTTGTGACCATGAACGTGAGTCAATGTCAACGTTAATCCATGTCACCAATATTTACCAAACTTATATCCTTTTACATGAACAATATACTTGCCAAATACAAAAACCCAAAGACTTTGTGTTATGAAGAAACACAATTTAAAGGAAAAGGGTAAAGAAAACTTTGTTTTTAATTTTTTTAAACAAAGGTGTAATATGACAAATTTAACGTTTGTCATTTTTTTCGGGAATTCCTGGTTTGGATATTATTAGTAGCCAACGTTTAAGCAAGTATAAAAAATAGACTTGTTTTAGAACTATGTAATTTAACGTGTCCAAAATGGGAATGATTAGTAATGGAATTTCACATACATTTCTGCTTAAATCTACAATAAATATAACATTTCTTTCATGAGATAGTTTACTATTTGGTGTCAAAATAAAAGTTGGAACATGTTGCATACACTGATGATACAGTTTTTATGGTAAGTGTGTCATTTAAATGCTCTAGGAGGACTGATAATGCCGCACCTTTAACATCCACACAGGCATAAGTCAATGAGGTCCCATTTGTCGTAACATAAATTCTGAACTAACTTTTTTCTGATTTAAGCTTCCTATATCTATACTTTTTATACTCTTATGTTAAATCTGCACAGGCGTTGACCCTACCTTTAACATATTATAGAATTTTAACATATAAGCTCGATGAAGAATTGGTTGACCCACTTTATATGCAATAGAAAATCATACATAAAAATGATATAATCATATAAGTAATCCCTATGTTTGAAGCGCAAAAACCGCTTAAATTAAAGTACATCTAAAAAGGTAAGTTAACAGTAATGCTTTATTATTTCCTATATATCATGCGTGTCATCTCCCATACCTTTAGTTTTCATTGTCGTCCTTAGAAAGTTATCTATACCAGCGTCGTCAATCCTCACCAGATGGGCTTTTTGTTGTTTGCAACTCTCCTGCAGTTAAAAAAACCCTTAAGATATATATGGTGTATTTTTTTTTATATAAAATATCAAGAAATTACAACATGTATCATTATCAGTTTCATGATTACAAAGGGGTGGCTGCTAGATAAAAATACGTCGATTCAATAAAAACTTAAGACAGTATCGTCGTTGTGGAAAGATATACTTTTCTCTCTTTTACCTGTGTGTAGGATAGGGCTGTCCAGGGTAGGAAAGGGGTGTAAGCAATGTCTTTATCACATAAGGTACTGTGTTATCCAGTGAAATTACCAATGTCATGTTATTTTGCGTATTAACCAATGAACCTATAAGCCCTATATAGCATACACCCCATTTCACGTGACGTGACGTCACCATGGCTAAACAATGACGTGATGTCGCGAATTTGGCAATCTCCGATGCCGCATTGCGAAAAAAGGCGACGAGATGAAATTAAAACCTTTTACGATATATGTATCGTACACATTAAAAAGATGAGATTACTTTTTCTGCGCAAACTTTGTTTGTAATTATGGGGTAAACAAAATCTCGCCGACTGATTCGTTTTCGTCATAAAAGCTCCGGGAAAAAGCTAAAATTTTCAAAATGGTAGCCAAACGCATTTTCATGGTTTCTGAGCTTATTCTGGTTGTTTGAACCACTCGGGCAAAGCCTCGGGTTATACTAAATTTAATAAACCCTCGGGTGGAATTTCCCTATCATACACCTCTGTACATGTAAGAGTCTTATATTCTTCTACACAGAGGTATTCCTATTCTATTTTAAAGAAAAAAATGACCTACCTAAAGAAAGACAGATCACACGGATGATTATTCTAAAAACATCACAACTGTGTCATCACTTTGTGCAGCGTACCCAGGATACTGATAGACAGAGAGAGATCCACCTGCTTAATTTAAAAAAAATCCTCGTGCTTAATTTAAAAATCATTCTCGGGTTGAGACTGCTCTGTCCTCAGTACACATGGTTTGTAGATTCTATTGATCTGTTATCTGTTACATTCATGTATGGGTTTCTAGACATTGGAGTAAACAAGATGAAACAAAGTCGAGTTTTGCTAATACCATCTATAAGAATGAGGCAATCACAGATGTCATTGCACCTTTAAAATTTGGCAATAGATACATATGCCAAAACGAATGACATGAACGGATGAAGCTTCTAGTGTTATTTATTAAAGATAACATATTTATAGTGAATGTGTCACGACAAACAATACAAGAAACACATTCATGGCCCTCGATACTCCTAGGTAACCCCTGGAGTATCGAGGACCGACATACTCCAGGGGTGCAGAGAGTGAAAGTTAGAGTAACACCAGGAGTATTTAGGATGTAAATGGATGTTTACACTTTGTTTAAAATTTACTCTGAATTACAAATAGTTTCATGATACCAAAACTAAATCATTTAGTTGGATTTTACATGTTTTAAAATTACAATAATTACAATAACTTTATATGATAATACAATTTTTTGTGAATGACCCTAGCGACACAACAACGACTGGTCTGAGTACATCTTGACTAAATTAGATGAACAGACCACATGGGCTTTGTGAACAATGTTTACTTGCCGAAATATACGCAATTTAAATTCCAATCTAATCCGCCTTGCTACTTTCAGTCGCAATTTTATAAACAGGACCTAATCTCGAGCTGATGCGCGTTTGAAAGAGTTTAAAGTATTGCAAAGCTTCTAAACGATCATGCCCAGAACATACTCTCTAAGGATGATGTTTTTGATAAATTTACTTTAAATTATTTACAATATTTCTTTTTTGTATCACTTTCATTAATTCATAAAAGAACAAATTGATTTTTTCCCCTTCAAACTTTTTTCTTTCAAATGTTAAAACACTTTTTTTTGGAAAAAATGTTCTAGTTTCGAGATTATGATCAAACGTCGTCTGCTTCTCAAACATTCAAGAAAATAATATTTACAATGTATTGACATTGTTTTTGTTAACTCGTTTATTCTTTAAACTATCTTTGATTAATAAATATCAAGGTTTTGTGAATTGAAAAATTGCATTTTTTTACGTAACCGGAAGGTTACGAAAACGTGACCCGGAAATACCTCACAATATAATCAGGATGGTAAATAAAAAACTGACGTGTACCGAACATTAACAGATTAATACCGTATGTATTGAGACATGGATATGCTAGAATACAACACAATGTAACACTCGTTTAATCCATTGCTATCACATCAAGTACTACCTGAAATTTATGCGAAAATATCAGCATTAAATGTTTGCGATCGTGCAGACCTTACTTTCGTTTTACCAGTTTACAATTTACANCATAGGCGCATTCGAGGAAATGTTCGTGATTAAAAGCTTGTGTGTGTGTTTTTTATCTTAAAACTATCGGATAAAAGCATAGTGGCATGTTACATCAAAATACAAGATACAAGAATCATTATTTTACATTGAATATATGTCATAGTTAACATAAGCTCTCAGGAGCTGGTATTTCGACAAACATATATATATATATATATATGGTAAAACATTGTAACAGTGTAAAGGCAAACAACACATTTTATCACAAGATACCTATATTTGAAGGATTAAGATAAAGAGGCTAAATAACCCATGCTGTTCAAAATTTGGCACTAAAAAAACTTATTAAAAAACCAGTCCAGAGGGCAGGTGATCGGGACATAGCATTATTTGTAACCTGGAGCACAGGTTTGGTAGCCGTTAATATTAAA